GATATGTTAAACCTACGCAGTTACTTAGGTGTCTATTTTTAGGCTGTATCTAGTCCAGATTTATTATATCAACAAAATTACTGTGCTAAGATTCTTTATCAAGATTCTGATCTTTTACAACTAGTTATAATCTTGATCTTTAAGATATATTATAGTCCTGCTCCAATATGTGCGTTCAGAGCAAGTGTGTCATATGTGAATTTAAATACCTAGAGTTGTCTAATTAATATTGTATCTGGGCATTTATATGCATGTTTATATTTCCATACTTTCCCTAGGAATCTCGCTTTTAATATGCTTAATCATGTCAGTTTTTAAAATAAAGTATCTGTCTAGATGCAGTGGGTTCTGTATTTCTCCAAATAAATCTAGGTCTCTCATTTATTTCTCTAGCTTTCTCTCCAGACCCGGGTAGAGAGAGACCTATTCCCAGCCGGCAGTCGAGCTCAGGACGCGGGGCTCGGAATTTCTCAGTCGACAGAGCAGAGCAGAGGAAAGCTGAGCAGAGCGCACCCACTCAGCCTTAGGCTTCGAGGGAGGCGGGACAAGAATTCCTCGGCGGCTTTTCGTCGGTGCCAGTGAAAAGGAAATCAAGTCCTGACTTCCCCAGTGGAAAAAATAAAAACAAAACCCAACAATAGCAAACCCCCTCTGAATTTTCAGACCCTGATCCTGCCTTCTCATCCTCGTAAGTTTCCCGCCGAGTTTGGGAAAAGGGCTTTTTAGAGAAACAACGTTGGCACGACATAGGGGGTCCGGGCAGGAAGAGAGATGTCCTCGGGGAGTATGTAATAGGAGTGGGGGGATCAGTGAAGGGAGGAAGGGAGGGACAGGATGGATACACTGGGAAGGCTTTTGGTCATCCGGGGTCACTGGGGTAGAGTCTGCCGGGAATAAATTCACAAGCATCTCTCTCTTCTGCCTTGTCTCCTCTTTCGCTCCGTTCTCTTGCTTTCCTTCCTTTTTATCTGTCCTTAAGAGGGAAAAAAAAAGGTTTACAAGTAGACATTTATTACCAAGATTCATTTGTATTTGAATGCATCTGGGGTGTGCGTTGGGGGGGGCGCACTCTTTTTTAAAAGTTAGAAATAACCTCAGCGCCCCTGAAGGTTCTATATGTGTATGGGGTGGGGGTTGGGGGGGAGCAGCTGCCAGCGTTTCTTGCCTCGTTGCAAGAAGGCACCGTGTTCGCCTTCGAGGTGGCTTTGTGTGTCTTCCTTAAGAGACACAGAAAATGAAAGAAACTTCATCGGGGATCGCAAAAGAACTTCTCTGCCTCGTAGTCTAAATTCCTAAACCGGAGTCGCAGACTCAATCCCTCCCTTCCTCTTTCTGCCCCGACCTTCCTTTGGATGCCCCTTTCCCGAACCCCAAGGCTCGGGTGCTGAAGCCTCTCCGGGGTGGAGAGTCTTAGGAAGGAAAAGCGAGAAATATCTGCTTAAGAAAATAAAGCCGCCTGCTGTGCCCTTCTCCCGGATTCACTCATACGTTCTCTCCCACCCCTTGTCCTAGCTCTGGGCTCCCAGAAAAGCCTAGAACTCTCTTTCTTTCCTCCCCCCCGCCCAAGGCAGGCCCCCTTTCTCTCTGAAGTCCCCTTCCCTCTTCCCAACCTAGCCCCATTCTCCTTCCTGGGATAGGGGCACTTTTCCCCCGGAAAGGCCGCGGGGTGACAGCAAAAGAACTGGCGAGGATGTTTTATTTTTTATTTTCATTTTATTTTATTTTTAAAGGAGATGGAAGCTTAAAATAGGCGGGCCGGCTGCTGTCTGGCCGAGGGTCTGCGGGCAGCAGCAGCTCATCTTGGGTCGGGGCGGGGGCGCAGAACTGCGCAGGGCTGGGGGGCGGCGGTATCTCTGCGGTGCCTGTCATGGGGGCGGCCGCGGCGGCTGAGTGATGAGGGCAGAGAAGGGCGCCCATAAATCGTGGGTGTCAGGGCGAAAAACTCTCTTTATTGTCTGCGTGATGGATGGGCCCGGGGACGAGACACCAAATACTTCGTATCGCCCTTAAATGGGAACACATTTTCCGCGGCCATAATTCATGTTTTTTAAATAGAAAGTTTGAAATGTTGCCTATATTTCACCCGCCCTGACATATTTATGAATCGCTCCCTGCATGCAAATATCATTATTTAAAGCGCCGGGGAGACCGCGGGGGGAGGAGAGGAGAGGACTGCAGGGGTGTGTGTGTGCTTGTGTGTGTGTGTGTGGGGGGGAGTTGTATGCGTGTGTGTGCCTAACTCCCTAAACTGAACAATGAATAGGAGGTGGGGAGGGGGAGAGGGATACCGTCACTGGTTCCCAAATTCTCAATAGCCACAAACATCCTCACTTGGGACTGAGGCCCAGGGAAAAGTAACGACGGAGGAAGTTTGTAAAGGTTCAGTCCGCGCCCCCACCGGGCTGCGGACTCCAGGACTCCCTACGCGGCTCCCATCTCTGTACTGAAGGCTGGGTCAAATCAGGAAAAATGGTAACCAACCAAACAAACCAACCCCCAAATTAAAACCACCCCCGACCCCACCACCAATAATAACCCAACATTTTTCATTCAATTAATTCTTTATTGATTTTGATTCTTCAATCAAGAGGCTGCAGACTGGCGGGGCGCTGTCATTTCTCTACCTCCACCTCAGGCCTTGGGAGCTGGGAACCTAGGGAAGCGGGGGGCCACCCCCTCCAGCGCCGCCGCCTCCAATTACCCAGTGAGGCCGATCCCCTTTACACACTCCCTCCCCCAATTGCACACACACACACACACACACACACACACACACACACACACACACACGCCGGCATCAGGCTCAGCAAATGCAGTTCCAACGAGGACAAGGACGTTAAAAATAAGTAAATAAAACCCAAAGCCCTTAGCCCCCTCTCCCAATCTGATGCGCCCCCTTCCAAGAAAAAAAAAAGCTCACCATACAGATTAGCGGTCTAACCCCATCCCAGCTACTTCTCTTCTGCATTTCCCTTATTGAGGAAGAAATCACAAAATGAATGAAAGTGATCCCTGGGCTATTTCCTACCTATTCCCCCTTCCCCTTAGGCCCCCAGCCGAGAACACTTATACATGGGCTGCTGAGTTGTGATGACTTTACCTGCGGGTCTCCCCGGAGGCTGCTCCTGCCCAAGCCGCAGAGAGAGAAGTAAGGAGAATGAAGGAGCTAGAGGAAGACCCAGAGACAGACGGACAGACTGACGCGCACACGCAGGAGGGTCTCCTCTTTCCCCTCCCCACAGGACGCTGGGACCCTGGCCAATTGGATAAGGAGAACCCGGCAAGCCCGGAGGGGAAACCCGGGAAAGGCAAGGAAGGGAAGAAGGGAAGCCGGCAGGCTGGGAGGAGGGAAGGGGGACCAGCGACACTTCCGCTAGGGGAGGGTGCTGCCCTGTGACGCGAGCCAGGCCCTCCCCTTCGCCGCCTGTAGTCAGCCTCCTAAGCCTGCCTCCTTTGGTCCTCGGCACCTCCTCCTTGGCTCAACTAGGGGCCGCCCCGCACCTCCAGCCCCGGCTGGCCCGCTGGGAGCTGCAGAAATTCGCTGTCTCCCTCTATCCCACCTGGGAGGTAAGTTTCAATGTCTGTTAAATAAGACTAACGTCTAAACGCGCCTCCCTAGCTCTCCATTCTGGCAAATGTGCCTCTGGACTAGACCGACATCTCTAATGACCCACCCTTGTCCAGCACCTGACTTGGCACCCCACCCACCCCGGGTTAGGACCAAAAGTCCTATCAAGAATGTGGGGATGAACACCTGGATCGGAACGCCTCTGTCTTTTATACTTAGGATCCTCATTTTTGTCTTCTGCACCTATACCCTCTAATCCTCCTGCCCTGATATCCCCACCAAAATTGAAAGTGTCCTCATTCTTCAAATTTCCCTACAGCATCTGTCTGGATTTCTCCTTTGCCCCTATCACTTAATTTTGTATTAAATTTGTATATATGTTGTATATGTCCAGCCCCTTTAGAATGTGAAGGTCTTGGCTGCAGAGGCAATGTCTTTTTTTTTTTTTTGTATCTTAGGACTAGATCTCATTCATTCATTCATTCATTCACTCATGCATACATTCATTCAACAAGCATTTATTAATCGTGGCATGATGTTCATGCCAGCATCTATGGCAAGAAGACCTTGGTTTAAGCCCTGTGCCTCTGACACAGACTTGCTATGTGACCCTGGGTGAGTCAACTAACCCCTCAGGGCAACTCTTTAAGACTGTAAATTTCAGAGAACTGGACTGAGAGAGTTAGTTTCCTCACTGTGGAGGCCCTATATATCCATGAAATTACAGTAGACCCCCAAAAGTGACAGGTTTGAGGATAAAAAGAGAAAAAACAGAAAGATCCCTTCCCTAAAGGACAGAATATGTACACAGATGAGTATATGCAAATATATACACATACACAAATACATATGCGTGTGTATGCATGCATGCACACGCATATGTATGTATGCATACATAAATACATACACACAGTAGTTTCTGGGAAGAGGGAGTCTGTTAGAAGCTGGGTGGGTGGGTGGGAATAATGATAGGCCTTCTACAGGAAGTGGCAAAGCACCCAGTACAAGATCTTTCAGTTAGAAGGCATTTGACAAATGTTTGTTGAATTAAATTGAATGATCTTTCCAGAGCCCTTCAGGCCAAGCCACTGCACAGATAATCCTTCTTGCCCCCTTTCCCTCAAAAAAAAAAGTTTAAACACTTCAAGTTACTACTTCACAAGGTAAAAGGCACAAAATGTACTTCTGGAGAGGGACAACCTGCCTGCTTCCTGCTTCTTCCTCCCTCTCCCATTAGCCCTGGCCTGAGCTAACCCTCTTACTCCCTTCCTTTATGAAGTTATGGGATAGCCACTTAATTTCTGAGAAAGAGAAAGAGAGACAGAGACAGAGAGGAAGAGAGAGACAGAGACAGACAGACAGACAGACTGTCCTGAGAAGTTCTCATTATGAAGGGGTGGTAGGGGTAGGGAGGTTAGATCCCAGATTTTGGCGTATCTACCCCCATAGCTAAAATCAGACAGGAAAATATGTCTATTAATCTAACATATTTGTTGTGAATCTATTAGGTCCAAGGCACAGGTCCTATGGTGGATAAATCAAGATAGCAAACACAGTCCAACTTACAGTCTAATTGGGGAGATAAGGCATAGACACATGAAAAAACAGATAACCACAGAACCATGCAGAAGTCTGCATTTAAAGTCAGACAACCTAAGTTTGAATCTAGTTCTGCCACTTCCTATCTGTGTGACCTTGGGCAACTCACTTTACCTTGATGGACCTCAGTTTCCTCAGTCTGCAGAAATAAGAGGGATTGGATAACATGACCGTACGTGCTACAGTTATCATTAAACTCATTTTATAGATGAGGAAATTGAGGCTGAGACTTGCCCAGCATCATAAAACTAGTAAGTGCCTGAGATGAGATTTAAACCCAAGTTTCTCTAATGCCAAGTCCAACTCTTCACTGTGCCAGGCTGCCTCTCATTTGAGGGTGAGGCTTAGGTGTCCCTTCAAACTTCTAAGCTTAAGGATGCTACTGATTGAATATGGTAGGTGCTGACGTGCTGACATGGTGCAGAGTCTAACTACCATACAGATTTCCCCTTCAGAGGAGAGATCAATCACTGTGGGGTGGGGATGGTTAGGGAAGAAATCCACATTTGAGCTGTAGTGCTGAAGGATGCACAGAGAAGAGTGAGAAGACGATTGGTAGTCTGGGTAGCAGAAACATTGGAGGGGATGGGAGAGGGGGAATCAGTTTTCCCAGCTACACCCCATTCTTACTCTCCCAGATTCTCAGTCTCCCTTCATTCCAGCTTCATTGGCTCTTTTTTTTTTTGGCTCTGAAGTTGACCCAACACTTTAGTTAGCTATTTCACCTGACTACTAGGAGGGCACAGATTCCCTCACCTGTACTGGCAAAGGTATGGAAAAATCCCATCAGTTCATCCTAGATAAAGTTTTCAAAAGGAACTTTTACAAGAAACCCAAGGAAAACAAAAGAAAGCTAACAGAAACTGTAGCCTGGCCACAGATTGACTCAGCTTGCATAGTTTATGGAATGCCACCACCCCTTAGTTTCTTTCATTTTAACTCTTTGCAGGTGAGGGGCCAAAGCTAAACAAAAGTGCATAAATCTTCTGGCCTGAGGTAGGTTTGAGTTGGCACTGCTTCTAGATAAGGAGGGTAGGGCCCTCTCTCACTTGCAGAACCTGTTCTCAGTCTCATTTTTGTGTTTGGGTCCTCTTTGTTACAGCCCCTTTCCCTTGCCCTAGATTGTGTTGTAAAGCCACTATATATCTGCCCTGGCTCTGCCCTGATCCTGGGTTGTAGAAGGAACTCCCTCAGCTGACTCCCAAAGATTCTGTCCCCTTGGCTAACCACCCTGCCTTGACTTTTTAGACTCCTCCTTTGCCCTCGGTCTGGAAGGCTGTTTGGGTTCATGTCCCTGGATCATGCTACTCTTCCTCTGGCCTATTCTTTCTATCCTATCTGGTTTCCTTGGAGCATGCTTATTAGGTGAGAAAGCTGATTTTACCTGATGGTATACCTTGACTTCCTTTATTGGTTCAAAATTAGTACCTGGGGAGTAGTTATAATTAGATGGCAGATGCCACCTTCTCCAGCCTATCGGTTACACCTCAGCTCCTTCCAATGGTGAGAAATAGACTCTCAGTCTTTTTTTTTTCCCCCTGTTTCAAATCCCTAAGGCTCTGTTAGATCACTAGCTTTCCTGTCTGAAAGATTCCTCCAGCCTTCATCTTATTGGTAAAACAGGGAGGTTCAGTAACTCTGGAGCTCAATGAAGGATCAAGCTTTTTCCATCTCAGGTTTGTAACTCGACCACTTCTCCAGATTCTCTCTAATGACTCATCCCCAGGTGCCCCCACTTACCCAGCTACTCACCTAAGAGTGAGTGGCCTTTCAGATTCATAAGTCTTTCTGTATAAAATATAGTATAATTCATATGTAGCAAAATTAAATGACATAATTTCTACAAGGGATAATTAGAGTCCTAATTCCAATTATTTAGGAGCTAAGTCTGGGTGATACAACTTTGTATTCTTTAAATATAATAATAGCTAACCCTTATACAGGGTGTCCCAAGAGTTTTAGTGTAGTTTTAAGCTTTAATAGGTTTAAGCTGCTTTAAGACTTTTGGAACACCCTGTATATTGCTTTAATATTTGCAAAGCACTTTACATACACTATCTCATTGATGTTCACAACAACCCTGTGAAGTAGATAATACTTACATTATTTACCCCATTTCACAGCCAAAGAAGCTGAGGCTCAGTTGGTAAGTGGCATCCGTGGTCATACAGATAATTGTCAGAGATGGCATTCAAGCCTAAAGCTTCTGGATTCTCATCAAGCCCTCTATCCACTATGGAATAGTCTCCATATTAAACTGAGAGTGATTTTCTTGTTTGGCTTGTAAGCTATCTTGGTTGGTAATTATTTCAGAGTCACAAATCATAAGTACAAAGCTCGGCAATGAGATATCGAGTTGGGAGTCTATCACCAAACCAAATTGGCTGTCTAAATGACAACAAATCAACACCTTAACAATGCTAGTTCTGTAAGACAGCTGGTCAATTGCTTTGGTCGTTTTAGTGGATTTCAAGACTCTATGAATCAAGAATGTAATATGGCAGTTCCCAAAGCTAATGTAATCTTAAACTGCATTCAAGAGAGGAGAAATACCCCAAATAAAGAAGGTGACAGTCCCACTATACTCTGGCCCTAACTAAACTAAATCCAGAGTATTGCGGTTAGTTCTACGTACCCTTTTTAGGAAGGAGACTGAAAAGATGGAGCACATCCAGAGAATGGCGACTAAGATGATAAAAAGAATAGAAACCATGCCAGTGAGGATCAGTTCAAAGAACTGCATATGTTTATCTTAGACCTGAAGAGAAGACTTAAGGGGCCCATGAAATCTGTCTTCAAACATATTAAAAGATATCTTGTGAAAGAAAGATTAGATTTGTTCTACTTGGCCCCACAGGGCAGTAATTGCAACAATGGGGGGGTTGCTA